CTTATGACAACAAAATTGTCCTTAAATAACTCAGCCATCAAATTGTTTTGGCCCAAGCAGATCTCGTTATTATCATTATTACAATTATAATAGCCGTCTTTAGGACATTATGGCTAATTTAATGTAATAGAATAAGCAATACTTTCCTAGAAACTATAAAATATACACTAAGTAGTTTACATTATGCATCTCAAAGGATGGACAGCGCCACCCTACGTTAGAAAATCTTGTAAAAAAAAAAGGACCATTAAAATATAAATTATAAACCTCTAAAAGAACTAAGCATAAAAGCTAAACGTTTGTGGTTTATTTTTCTCACAGTGCTGTGATTTACTTTGACCACGAAACACACGTTGACTGTTCGGTACTAACGTAAAACCGAAGTGGTTCTGAACTCCACAGGACGTGTACAGTCCAAATGTACTCGGTACTTGGTCATGTGTACTTACCACGCATGTACTCGATTGTTCCGTCCAGTACGAGGTTTAAAAGAGGATCGAATCCTTTCAGGACACCACTAGCTGAGAGAGAAACACATTCGAACGTGTGTGTGTGTGTGTTACTTACAAAACTGTACCGTTAGCGTCTGTTCAAACTAAGCTAAGTCGGTTAGCATAAACAGTTAGCATTTGTACATGTCTCCTCTTACCCTCTCTTCCTCCTTGGAACTTAACACGAATCGGCTTGTCGATGTACTTTGACAAGTCAAAGATGCTTTCCTTCTTCTTCTTCTCTTTGTCCTGCACAATGACAACAGAACAATGTTTTTTTTGAGCAACACACGGTCAACTAGGCGACGCCGACGAGGCAGCGTGATGAGGCCTAGCCTCCGTTAGCTTCGCCTTTTGCCACTGCACAGCGAACAGGTTCTGGGTGGGTTATAGAGTTATTTTACGTTTTTGTGTGTGAACTTGACGAAATATGTTTGAATGAGGACGAAAAGCAGACGAACTCACCGCCATGTTCTCTCCGTGACACGGAAGTTAACGTATGACCCAGAAGTTCTCATCCAATCAAACGACTGAGCGCCAGTCGATGACGTCATCCTTTGTTGACGATAGAATGTATTTAAAATGTCAATAAAACATATTATTTAAATAAATAACACTTGTATTAGCATTTTTAAAATATATTTATATACATTCATTTTCACTTAGATTTTTCAACAATTTTCTAATTTTTTATTTAATCTAATTCTTGCCTCGCGTTCAGCCAAGAGTATGTGGTCAGGGGGGACAAGAAGTCAAGGGAAAAGTCTATTAATACCTGCAGCTGGTGTCCTGTGAATCAGCAGGACAGGAATAGTCGAGTGTGCAGCTGCAGTGGTTGTTTGTCGTGACATGGCCTGCAAAAATGACACTCGGAAATCAAAACCTCCACATCAACCTGAGCAGATAAACAAAGTGGAAGAGGACAAGTCAGCTGTACAAGTACAAGTACAAGACCTTCAACCAGAAGTCCCCGATGCTACTGTAAGAGTGGAAGGCGAGAGTTTTTATGTCAACCGTCGGTGTCTGGCCAACCACAGTCCCTACTTCAGGGCTCTGTTCTTTGGCGGTGGAGTGGAAAGTGGCAAAAGGAGAATTGAAATCAAAGGTGTGGCTGTGGACTTTTTCAAGATCTTGATGGAACATATAGTGACATCAAAGCTAGTTTTGGATCGAGAAAATGTGCTGGGGATTCTTGAGACGGCAGACTATCTCCAACTGGGGCGAGCCAGGCTGTTGTGCTGCAAATTCCTGGAGCGAGAGCTGCATCTGAGCAACTGTCTGGGAATGATGGGATACGCCTGGCAGCGTGGTTACACTCAGCTCTACGGTGCTGCACAACAGGTTGTGCTCTCACACTTTTCCGCCATCATCAATGAAGAGGACTTCCTGCACTTACCCAAGGAGACAGTAGCACATATTCTTGCCAGCGACGACCTGGCCATCAGTAAGGATGACACAGCCCTGGAGGCCGTCCTGCGCTGGGTATCGTTTGACTCTAAACGAGAGGACAGCTTTCTGGAGCTCATGGAGCTGGTGAGGCCTGAATCCCTCTCTTTGTCTTTTGTCACTGAACTTTTGACCAAAATGAAGAGCTCTGACCCCAAAGCGAAGCTCATTTGCATGCTAAATGAACACTTCCCAGCGTCCTGGTCAATGGGCCGGTCATTGAGGAGGACCAGGGCCAGAGAGACCCTTTTTGTCCTGGGTGGACCTCATGATCAGGAGCAACAGGCGCTGTACCAGTTTCACCCTCTGACCGGTAGATGGCAAAGCTGTGCACCTCTGCAGAGAAAGAACCTCACGCAGTACTCAGTAGCTGCAGTAGGTAAGGTCATTTTAATGTTTGTTTTTTTTATATCTCATTTTGAGAAAAAATGTAATAAAATTATAAAACTGTTTCACTGAAAGTGTAACATAAATTGTAATAAAATTACCAAACTGTTTCACTGAAAGTGTAACATAAAGAGGTGACACGACCCGTCCTTTCTTTTTTTTTTTAACCCAGTCAAAATACTCAAATGTGTTGATGGGTAACCTGTTATTGAGAAACCACTTAAAACGTTGCTTCATGATCATTAATTCTATTGTCCTAGTTTTATTGATTTATGTTACAGGCAACAATCTCATGTGTTTGTTCTATTGTCCTAGCTTTATTGATTTGTGTTACAGGCAACAATCTCATGTGTTTGCGAGAAGAAAAAAAAACACATTTACCAAATAAATAAACGTTTACCAGTTACTAGTTACTACCAACTACAAGTTGCTCAGTTCTATTTCTGCTGTATTTAAAACCACTACAAGTTGCACAGTTCTATTTCTGCTGTATTTAAAACCAATAATAAAGTCTCATTCACAACTAACACATTTTTTTCTCTCTGTACAGGAGACAACGTGGTTGTTACTGGCGGCTACTTCCGGGATGTGCTGTGGTTCAGTGTGGACTGGGTCAGTGTGTACGAATGTGGAAACCAACGCTGGGTGAGCGCCCCGGCCTTACAGAAGTCCAGACACAGTCACTGCTCCATCGGGTTGGACTCTGTTCTGTTTGTCCTCGGTGGAAGTATGGACGAAGGTCTGGTGGCCGATGTAGAGAGGCTGGTCCTGGGGTCGGAGGAGGGGTGGGCGGGGGTCAGCCCAATGGTCAGGGCTGTGGAGAGGGCAGCTTGTGCCGCTCTGGGGATGTGTATCTATGTGGCGTGCGGCCTGGATGAAAACGGGGACGTGTACAGTGGAGTACAGAGATACGCGGTGCAGAGTGACCAATGGGACGTCGTCTCCTACTCACCATTTCCACGGTGAGTGTATTCTACGCTCTGTTATTGGTCGGTTCGCTATGATACAAAACAGATGACATCCCTGTGTTCTGAACATGTCCTTAGGTACGACCTGGCCGCCACCGAGCTAAATGGCGCCCTCTACCTTCTTGGAGGCCAAAGCTTACGTTTTGACGTGGAAACCGACGAGTGGACGCTGCTGGAGGAGGAATTTTTGGAAAGGAAGTTCTTTTGTGGCTGCGCCATAGTCAACAATCAGATCTACCTGGTCAGTGAGAGGAAGGGCAACAAAACGTTTCCAAACATGGTGCTGATGGACCCTTACATAGACACGTGCCTCGAGATAGACGACGCCATTCCCTGCCCTGTTCCTATCAGAGGGAGCGTCACTATGAGATTGGTCATGTGACAGTGTGTTTTTCTGTACCTGTACTTTGTACCATTATTTTTGGACTACAGATTTTTTAAATCAGAAGAAAAAAAATCTTCCATTACTTAAAACAACTGAACTAATATACATGAATAGTATTAAGTATCCAATGAAAACATTTTACTGCATTGTATCATGAATAGTATTAAGTACCCAATGAAAACATTTTACTGCATTGTATTCTAATTTTAGACATTTTTTTCTCCATCCTCCTTGTGGCCTTAATGCTTTCATCAACATATTATCACGAGTAAAATAAAATGTTTTAAAAGGCTTCACACATCCCACGTGGTGATGAATTTTAGAACATAATTTATTCAAACTTCAACAAATCCCCACACAACCAACAAAGCATTAATCTGTACAGTCAGAACAGAACAGTCCAGTGTAACAGGTGTAAAAGTCACATTTTTTTTCCTGTTATTTTCAGTAACGTGTGGTGGGGTTAAACTCTTCAGTGGATCAGCCCTTTATGGTATTTCTGTCATCAGATTGAACCCCACTCTCGTCTGTTTTAATGTACTTTGTAAGAACATTTCCCAGTGCATAAGACAGTGTTTTTTTTTTATTGACCTATGAAAATATAACAGTAGATTTCGGCAGTGTTAGACACACTGTATTTGACCCTACGACCAAGCTGACCATATCCCATCAAAATCATCATTTTGAAAATAATCATTTCCTGGTAAAGCTTCATTGTCAAGGCCTGTCTTTATTTCAGCATTAAAGTGCCAGTGTGTTAGCATCAGCGACATCTAATGGTGAAACTGTAACGATCACAGGACTCCTCCGTTCACTAATGCCACATGGAACCACAGTGTCTGTTTGTCTCAAAATAAATCACATCATCAAATTTGATTCAGGTCCGCTGCACTTCTCTATACTTTTTAAAAAAAAAAAAATTTCATTGGACGAATACATATGAAACCCGGTCATAAAACGGTGGAGAAATAGTTGGTAATTTCACATTGACTGAATTTATCCACCCTCTCCAAAAGCGGTGAACGATGGCAGCCTTGGTTCACAGAAACACCCCCCCTAAAAGCTTCATTTAAGTTAAGGTACACTTTTAAAAAACAAAACAAAAACATAAATATGAGAAATAAATTCAACATCTGCCAGTAAACTCTTCTTAAAGTTACACACTGGGCCTGTGAACCATCAGCTACTAACTCCCTCTAACGTATCATCTAAACCGTATGTTCTGTACATAAGGCCTGTGTGGCTTCATGGCTCACTCACATGTTACCAGCAACACCAACAAGTAACAGTTCAGGACGAGCACAAACACAGCAAAAAAAAAAAATCTGGTCCAGAAAAATAAAAAAAACTATTACTGTACACAGACTAGTCAACAACAAGTGTTAAAACAGCAGCCAAGGCACAAAGCAACGGATGAAAGAGCAAACATTACTACGAACTGATGGTGATTCCTCTCACTCCCTTTTTCAGTATTCTTTCTCAAAGTTTTTTTTTTTTTAGATACAGGAAGTTTCAGCCTCTCAAGGATATGTCCTTCTATGTGCACAAGGGGGCGCCATATCGCTTCTACAAATCAAGTATCAGCTATAGAGAACACAATAAACTAAATCTAATTTTTATCAAATTAAATTAGTTTTTCTTTCATATTTCTAAAATGTATTTAAATTAAAGGTGTGAGTCTTAGGTATAAACAACTATCCAGTGGTTGTTGACTAATTCACTACTGTTACTTTTGTTTTTTCCTCACTAATGTTTGTACGACATAAGTTCATGTATGTGGATACAAAATCGGCGAGAGAAATAAAAACTTACTCTATCTCTAAATTTACTTAATTTTTCTTTTCGTTTCAGTTATATTTAGAGGCAAAAGTTGATTTTTGTACAAAACATTCTCTTTTGGAGAATCAGAGAATCAGCCTCTACTTTAGGCTTTAACGCAGTTCAATCCAACAGTATAAATAGAAAATAACAATTTATTTTACCTTTAGTGGAATGAGTGAAGACACTAATGTAGTCTCTTTCCACTGTGACACAGCAGTGCAGCTGTGTCTTCTGTGATGATGAATGAGATGCGAACCTACCCTGGTGTGAAACTGCCAACGTGATCGTACTGTACGAGTCAAATCTCCAGAGGACACAGAGGGAAAACATCGATTTGTCCAGTGTGGACTGGACCACGGCGACGGGAACGTCTCCACTATCTGGCCTTGGGCATCCTGCTGTTTATGTTCCTCTGATGAGTCAGGTTGTTCAGCACACAGTTGTTAGCCAAAGATGCTAATTTAGAGTTAATCGCACCCTTCCGTTGCTCCCAGCTGCATTCATCCCCGTCCTCCTCGGGTTCTTCCTCGTCATTATCGTCCACCTCGCTCTCCGCGTCGCTGCGCTCGTCACGCTCAACCTGAGGAGAGAAACCGAAGAGAAATGGAAGGAAACATGTCAGAACTGTTGGCAGTGAAGCTGTGGCTGCAGCCCACGTGGCCTGGAGTTCAGCTGGAGACAACCACAAGACATGACTTCTCAAAAAGGCTGTTTAGTCCAGAGGTTCCCAACCTGAGGGGTGCAGACTGGTACCTGCTCCAAGACCATTCAGTTTTGGGCCAACCCCAAAAAACAATATTGTTTTTATTTATCAAAAGGAAATGTGAAATATATTTCATAAAAAAAAGACTATTCATCTTTGCCTTACGGCATTTCTGTCTGCAGTTACAACAAAGAAGAGACAGGTGTCGCTGTCTCCTATTACTCTCATATGGGGCTGTCTCACTGCAGCTAAATAAATTCAGGATACTTGTTGAGACGTTCATCTCGAACACAAGTATAAATTTACTGTATAGGAAAACTGGAAACTTCAAGTTCAGGAAAGCATCACATTTGTGTTTGACTGCAGACTAAAGAAGACACGTGACACACTCGTCCTCTTACCTTGCCCAAAAAGACAAACTTGTAGACCATGCGTAGGATGAGATAGGCCCAGAAGACGTGCAGAGCCTGTAAGACTAACAGCAGCGCATTGAAGAAGTAATAACCGAAGAAAGGCTGGAAGAATTCTGAGGACAACACCAGTGTGGTGTGGACAACTCTGTAAAAAGACAGGGACACAGTCAGTCTTGACCCCACGTGGAGGTCGGTGCAGCCTTAGAAACATTTTCAAACAAATACAGAGTAAAGACCGCAAAGACCGCGGGAAAGGTTTCAGGAAAAACAAATAGCAAAACTTGACGTTAACAAGATTTGACTTCGACAAACTGACGGTTGATAAATATTTAAACTTTCAACTTCAACCTCGTGAGAACAAATTTACTGTCTTCCTGGGGTTTATCTGTCCATAAACACAGTCCCGTCCTACCTGAAAGGAAACACCACCAGTCGGGTGAAAAGGAAAACCAGAGCGAAGACGACAAAGAGGCTGTCACACAGTCTGGTCCAGCCGGCGTAGTGAAACATCTTGGCAGACTTTTGGGAAGAAAAAAGGAAAAATTCAGTTTTTTTACTAAATGCAATAAATGATGGCAAACCTTTGGTATCATCACCATCTAACTGTTACAAACAACAACAGAGAATCAGGTGATGTTGTTGAAGGACTGAAGCTGCCTCCCCCCCCCCGTCCTCCATCTCCTCCTCCTTCATCCCTCGACCAAGGACAATAGGCCTGTTATACTACGTGACGTTACCTCGAGCAGGAAGTCGGAGGAGTCGTGAACCAGCATCACCAGAGTTCCAACCCTCACGTAGTTGGCGCAGTAGGAGAAGCCAAGAAGGAAAATAGTGGCGATGTGATGAATGACCTGCTCCTTGAAATCCTTGGACAAAGTGTGCGAAGTACATGAGATGAAGTACATGAGATGAAGTACATGAGATGAAGTACATGAGATACTACAGTAGAGTACTACAGCCATGTGACACAGACACAGGTTTTTGATTGTCTATAAATGAGGTAAATAAATGTTCAAGATTCTGTCTTGGAAACTGACTGACTTGTTGTTGAATATATAACAATAATAATAATAATAATAACAATAATAATAATAATAACCTCCTGTTTAACTTTTTCCTCCTGTTTAACGTTTAACTTAGTAATGCAGTAATGGGATTATTTGGCTCCTAAAGGTGAGTTTGTGTTTGTGTAAAAATCAGACTGACTTTTCTCTTGACGTCCACAGACACACTCATCAGCAGCGACAAGTAGAAACCCATCTCCAGGAAGTAGTACCAGTAATGAGCCTCAGCCACAGGCTGTAAAACAGACAGACAAGAAACAGTCAGACACCAACGGACATCCTGATAAAATAACTGGTTCAACACCAACAACAACAAAGGAACAATTTTTACACCAAACGCACGTGAGTCGATTCGTGAAACACATTCCAAAAAAATATTTTTTTCTAGAGCGAGGAATCAAACTGAAACTGATTCTGTCTGCACATGGGACAGGTCGACCGACCGCGTCGACTTCCACCGCTGCTACCACCGAAATGTTGGACACAAATCTCAACCAGTTGCATGAAAAAACAAAAAAAATCCGTGCTCTATCTGCAGCAGAAACTCTCTGGTTTGTCTCGAAGCACTGGAACTCTGCGGCGACACAATGGAAGGAAGTTTACCAGGGCGTTTAACCATCAACCACATTTCTATTCTCTGTCAGACCACAGGCCCTTAGAAAAGGGAAAAAAGGTCAGAACGAGGACCTGCAATCAGTCAGAGTTTAGATAGCCAGAGGCCTGGGGCCGTCTTTTCTCTCTGACTGTTTTCTGTTTGTGGTCATGACCCCGAGAGGAAGGGTTGGCTGCTGCAGGGGAATGCAACCCTGACGGCATACCGATCTGTCACCAGCCCAGTTATTAGCCTGGTTCCTCAGGGCAAAAAAAAATTTTTTTTTTACAAAAACACAAACGCCTGAAGGTCAGCAAGAAAAAGGTGAAGAAAGTGAAATAAAAAAAAGAGGTTGATGACCAATGTGAAAGTGAACTACGAAGGTAAGTCAGAACGTTTCAAGACAAATCTTATCACTTCAAGACTTGTCTCCAACAGATATGATAAGATGATAAGATTAAATATAAATAATTAAAACTAAATACATACCATGAGGTGAAGTACCTAATCTGTCCACTGTGACATTAAACTGAGTCATTAGTGTGTACTCAGCCGTATCAAACATTTATCATATTTATTAAATCGCTCGTAAATCTTCCAGTAACCCGCCCACCTGTTTTAGATAATTACAGTAATTAAACCTTTTATCATTATTATTTTTTTTTTCTGCTTACCTGTTTAGGAAATCCTCTCCAACAATCTCTGTGGTTCCACAACCAGGGAGTCTAGATTATTGAGGGAAGGAGAACATCAGACGGAGTCACTGGGAGAAATCACTTCATGAATGCTGTTCGTTGCTGTAGTGCACATCAGTAACAACGCCGACCTCTGGGCTGTGCACCACTTTCACCAGGATCATCACATGCGGCCCGTTTGCAAGTGTAACACAGTCAAATGAGTGTGTGTGTGTGTTGGCGCAGCAGGACTTACGTTGATTAAAGAGCCAAGCCCTGCCGTGAATGATAGAAGATAGAAGACAAACCGCCACCTGCAGAGAAAAACACCAGAAACAGAAAAAACAAAATCAGGTGGAAATGAATTCAAACAATCAAATATTTCTCACAGAACCGTGCGCGTGTACACGCAGAGCTGTGTGTGTGCTGTCACCGCTGCTGCTTTAGGTCAGGGTTTCAATGAATAAACTGAATGAAGGCAGTGTTATATATATATATAGGTGACACAGTCTCTTTAGCAGAAGAACTGCTTCAGGGCAAACGGAAACAGGATTGAGCTGCGTCGAATTAGACGACTTTAAACTCACGCCGTCGTCACGTTGACACGTGTGAGTTAACGCTGCCAGACGAACAGAAAGTGAGCAGAGCTTTTTTTTACAAAAGCTGAGATTTATTCAACAATCGATTTATAAATAAACACATGCGTGTGTTCTGGTCATCTTAGCATTGACTTGTCGTGTTTTTTCAAATGTCAAAGTCGTGGTTGGGAATATAGGGGGCGCGGACAAAAGAGTTTAGGAGCCGCTGTCCGAACAGAACAAATCTGTGTCTCTGATGTTGAACTCTTGACCTTCTTAAGTAACATGAGGACAAGGACAGTCAACACTGGCTGACCGCTGCCCAGCTGGTTGTAGTGAAAGGTCATGAATGAGTGAGTGAGGTCACCGGATCAGATCACGTTTTTTAAAGTAGGAGTATTTCAACAAAGTATCAGGCACCGAAGCTGGTATCAGTATCAGCATCAGTATCAGCATCAGTATTTGTATATGTTTTGTTACAGCTCCAGTTACAACAACTCATTAAAGAATGTGACTTTACAGATTTGTTTTTGTCAGAATAAAATAAATAAATTTTAAAAAATAAAATAAAAAAAACCTTAACACTCACGAGGCCTCGCAGAACTTTTTAGTGTTGCTGGGTCGGTCCTGGTTTCTTCTGTGTCTGAACCAGGTCTGGATCTTTCTCTGTGAGAGTCCACATTGTTTCCCGAGGCTCGCCACATCGCTCTGAACACACAAACACACACAAAGAGACACATTTTTAGCCTTATGTTAAAAGTGCACTGCTCCAGTTTGTACTTTTTCTTCATGTGAATTCTTTTCCTGTCTTGGTTATGGACTCTGACACAGACTGATGTGAGATGTTTCCCTGCAGGACTGAGCCTGTGTCTGACGCTGCCCTGATCTCACTGATAAATGTATGGCTGACGTAACTGTAGCTCAAATGAAAAACGCAACTCCCTCTTGTGTTTCCTTCGTAGTTATGATGAAGTGAAGTGACACGTACATATATATTCACAGCTGCAGGAGCTCGGGGTCAAACCTGCCTCGGACCGCGGTTCTGTTCCTGTGAGAATATCCCATGTTTTCCTTGGACCTGAGTTAGGACGGTTGATTTACCACTGTATCCAGCAGAGATCAACCAGAGGCAAGGCATGAAAAAAGGCCAGTATTTGAAAAAAAAGGGACATCTTTCAAAGTTTTATCAAACAAAAAAAAAACCCCATCACGTTACTTTTAGACCCTCGAGTGCAGGGCAGTAACCAGGTGTGAAGGAAACTGTAAACTGATTAATGTTGTTGAAATTCTAGGTTAAATTCCAAAGTGAAGCCTGGCCACATGTGCAGCTCGTCCTGACGTGACCTCTGCGTGTAGGAAGGCACATTAAACCCAGGATGACGGAGGAGTGTTTTTACGACGACACACTGATCTGTGCACAGGCTGCACATGAGTTCATGTCATGAAAAAAAGGAGAGACAAAAACACAGGTGCACAAAAGAAACCATTTCATTGTAATGATCTGAGGTCGACCTCCTGCTGTTCATCAGCAGCTGATAAAAAAAAAAAAAAAAACACGGACAGGATTCTGATGGTGTTTTATCACACATTTACCATCAGTCGGAGCGACTGGTGTGACTCATGGTCACGCCGTACTTCCTCTATCAAACAAGTTATTTCGTTCATACTGACGTTATTGTTGCCTCCACACAGGTCACGTCTACCACCAACCAAACTTTGCATGCACATGTGTGTGTGCGTGGGTGCGTGTGTGTGCACTTTGCATTTTAGTCGGACGCGTTAAACAGCTGAGAACAGATCCAACCTCAAAAACCCGACTCATTAAAAAACAAGGAAGTAGGAAATGACAGAGAGAGAGAGAGAGAGAGAGACAGAGAGAGAGTCCCGTGGCTAATGGGCTGTGAAATTAAACAGACGCCGACCTACAATCATGTTACCACTTAACAGAGTGCATTATGGACTGGATAATAAAAACTAAAAATATTTCCGGATGTTTGTTGTTTCATATTTAATGAAGTTCTAAGTAGCTAAAGGGATTCAGTTAAATTAGACCTTAACATTGACGTGTGTTGCTAAAAATGACTAAACACAATCCTGACAAAACCCTGTTATTTTTTCTTAGTTTCTAAAAAAAAAAAAAGTCACAAGTGCCTTTTAGTGGAACAGCAGGTTTGGGCTGCACAGGCTAGTTAGCCTAGCCACGTACATCTGAAACATCTTCACTGTTAAAGTCAGTGATTGCCCCATTCTGCAGGGCAACAGTTGCTGGGACAGGGAGGTAAAAAGGCGGGACGTTGGAATGAGCATTTTTGACATCAACAAATGAAAAAAAAAATACAAACTTGAGACGGTTGTCGGCTCCTCTGTTTGTAAAAGGTCTCCAGCTTTGGGATGGAAGCAGCTCGGACCCGAACCTGATCCTTCACCCCCAAATATTTGCTAAACGGGACGGCAACGAGCCTGAAAACACAGAGAGAAAAAAAGGGGTTTTCATTTTGGAAAAAAAACAACCCAGTGTGAGGTGAAGTCAACAGCTGTCCTGTGGAGTTCTACCTCCCGTGGGCAGATGGTGACGTTTGGTCAGACGGTCTTTGTCCCTGCCTGATACAGCATCAACAGATATTTGATCTCCTCTGTGTGTGTGTGTGTGTGTGTGTGTGTGTGAAATGGACAAAGCAAACAGAAAACTAAGATGTAGACGTAACATGAGTAAAGCTATAAACACAGACGTGTGTGTGGATCTCTGCGTTATTTGTGTATAGTGACACTGTCTACAGTACGAGATAATCATGTTAAAGTAAATGGAGTCCATGAGAAGGTCAGGGCAGATTAACAGAGACAAACAGTCTCTGATTACAATCACAAAGACACAGACTAATGACCGAGGCTCGGGTTGTAATAAACGTCACCTTTTAGCTGCACTGGTTTTTCTCCAGTTTCCAAATTTCCAAATGTGAGGAGAAAAGTTTGAATGAAAACCTTCAACGTCGTGGTTCCCAAGATGAAGCTCATTAAAACTGTGTCAAATAACTCTGTTTACTACAGTCGGGGAAAGTTATTCCTGGTGTAAAAAAAAAAAAAATCTGAAATATTTGAGAAAGTGACAAAGGTCCAAACAACATGATTGGCTCACAGCAGAGCCAGCTCTCGTCACATGTCATCTTCATCACAGAAAATATTCAGGCTGATAACAGAACAGCCGGCAAAACGAGTCAGTATCAGCAGAGTCATCTCTGTCGTCTTCACGTCTCAACGTGAAAACAAGACGTTGTTTCAACTGGTTCAAAACTCCATCCCCAAAAAAGGGTCAACAGACGAGACAACGCCTGGACGTGAGGTCAGAGCTAAAACTACTGACTACAACTGGTCGAACGTCCCCCGGAACTACACCAGAAATGTCCAGAAACGAGAAAAGTTGTGGAATTTTAGTCAGATTAAAAACAATAATGTTCTAAATATTGCTTCACCTTTACAAACACTGAGCGTTTTCCACGTGCGGCCATTGTCTACACGCCAGAGTGACGATAAGATTCTCTTCTCATGTCACCACAGAAGTATTTTGCCCTTTAGCACCTGAACTCAAATGCTCCACCTGCAGGATTCACATTTGTACTCATTCTTAATTAGAAACTAAAGACGTTTTTTTTTTTATCTCAGTAATAAAGACTCTCTGATGATGATCAGCCACTGATGTCGGGGACCGTCGTTCTTTTCCACAAAGACACCTTTTACCAGGTCTCAGGACAGACCGGGGCAGCGGGACTTCACACCGTCAGCAGCTCAAACTGTTAATTCATGACATCGCCTGCTGACTTCTGCAGGTCGCATCTGCACCGCACGTCCACCGGGAGCGACGATGAAAGAGCTAATTATTCCGAAGAGCACATGGTTTAGTAAACAATGATCCGGCCGCGCAGCTGAGACCAAAATGAAACTCACGACACTGTTCTCACTTGACAACACATCCGATTATCCAAAAATCTAAGGCATTGTTTCCCAAGTACTGGGTCGCGACCCTGAGGTGGGACGCAAGAGTTTTTTTTTTGGGTCGTCTCGCATCATGTTTTTCCAGGAGTTTACGAATAATGTCTGTTGAGTTGGGTCGCAAAGGATTGTGACTTTTTAAAAATATGGGTCCCCAGAAAATAAGTTTGGGAAACACTGGACTAAGGTCCCACCAAAACACCTTGGACTGGGAGTTTACTGGTTCCGTATGAACACACACACGGTTACAGCCCTCATCCTCACAGAACTGAGTTCACCTTGATCTAACTGTCTAAGTGCAGGGGTTTCCTCACCTCTCAAAGACATATCTGAGGGCCATAAAGGCGAAGGCCAGTGGCAGCGTGAAGAGGAGGTCCCTGGGTCGAGGAAAACGGTCCCCGCCCTCCACGTCCTCCATGTCCCTCCAGTGGACTCCGGGGGGAAGCCAGTACTCGTCTCGCCACAACCAGTCATTCACCAGGGCCTCCATCCTGGGGAGGAGAAACACAGGCACGTTGAGTGTTGAGTTGCCAGCTATTGTCTGTAGTTGTAGCTGACCTCTGAAATATTGATGCCTTATTCAAACTGAAGCCAAACAGCAGCTGCCACTCTCAGGGTTACAGATTCAGAGAAACAGAGGGCAAAAGCCAGAGGCTCATGTTTACACAGGAAGAAGCCTGCGCACAAATTAGTGACAAGAGAAAAGGAACGTTTACGACTTAATATAAAATATTAATAAATAAAAAAAAAGTCAAAGATGTCAAAAGAAATACGGCGATTTTTTGTTTCACCGTATCGATATTCTACGACACTGTATTGATTTTCTTTTTTTTATTTACAGTTTAATTCAAATATTCACGGCGTTCATCCAACCATCCATCCATCCATTTTCATCCTCTTATCCTTCACCAGGTCGTGGGGGCAGCAGTCTCCATGACCGCCACCCAGATCACCCTGCACCGTACCAACCCCAACCAGGAGGTGAACCCTGGGGTTGTCTCTGGGCCAAAGCGCCACACCTTTCTTCAACTGAATGTAAAAGAAAAAACATATTTGTGCCTATAGTATCGCAGTCTATCACAATATATCGTATCGTCGGCCCCTGTGTCGTGACACATATCGTATCGCCACATTCTCACCTATGATCGAAGCAACAAGGGTCAAAATTTTAATGAAAGGTTTTGAAGAATTTTTGCTACGAAAAAAACCCAACAATGAGCAGATATTTAATCATTCGTACAAATAAATATGTTTCATTCGTACCTTAAAAGAAATCAGTCTGACCAGTTTTAAATTCATCAAGGATGTCTTGTACTTCCAGATCAGAGTACTACTACAAAGACAAAGTAATTGGTGTATATTGGCAACGACCATGAGCTGTCACTCATCCACCCACAGGCCAGATTATTATAAAGTCATTTGACAGTGATTTTGGCCGTAGTGTCAGCGTGTTCTGATCTTCACATTCAGCAGAAACGGTTTGATGCCAGTTCC